AACCGAGCCAGAACCTGAAGGCTGTTCTGTACCTGCAGTTCTCAGAGTCTATCAGAGAGATTTCTGAAGAAGCGGTGGTACCACTTCGTACTCCATGCCACCAGTCTCGCAAGTTGTGTTTTCCTCTACTAGTTTCACTGCTATTTTCATGCAATAGAAGCAAAGCACCTCAAATAACACCCTGTTAACATAAATAAGCTTGAATTTATTTTCTTATAGGAGCACAAATTTAGAGTAAATTCTGAATTAACTGATATTCTGGGATAGTGCTATTTCAAGAGGTCCAATAGGGGTGGTATTTGGAAATAGAGACCCACACGGTGAAAACCACATGCTCTTTTCTCTTCCTACATAGAAGCAGCTCTGACTCTCATCGAATCAGCCACGTACGCCAGGAGCAGAACCAGAGCCACGCTGACACAACGGGATGCCACACAAATACCACTTGCTACGCAGGCTCCTGGAGTCATGTAGGCAAGCTTCCCTGAGCGCTGGCTGCCGCCGTCCCATTGCTTGGACTACCATGGAGAAATAAACACTGCTTCATTCTTTCCAGACCTGGGAAAGTGAGCCTTAAGAACTAATTTACACCTAAAGACACCCTCAGCATTAAGTTATCCTTGGGGATTTTTTTTTCCCCCGGTCTATGAGAAGTAACTGTCCTCCCAGCAGAAAATTCACTTTCCTCTGGCCCCATTCCCACACACACTCCCTACAGCTATTTCCACCCACGCTGCAGCTCTTTTTAACTGTGTTTAAAAAGCAGAGAGAGAGAGAGAGAGAGAGAAATGTGCTGCTGCTGCTGCTGCTCCTCCTCCTCAGGTGGGCGGGCTGGTGGCTGGTCAGTCTTCTGCAGCATTTCTCATCGCTGGATGCGTGGGAGGCCGGGAGCGGGAGTGGAAGGAAGGCACATCGAGGCGAGGGGGAGGCGAGCAGCCCCTGCCCACCTGCACACGTGTAATGACACGCAAGGAAAAACTATCGCCAGGCATCTGCGAGCAGAGCCCTCGCCGAGCTGAGAGCGTGGCAGGCACCCAACAACACCTTGGGTCTCAACACCAGACCCAGGGGCGCCCACTGCGTCTCCAGGCATTTCGCACCCGCTGGGAGGAACAGAGCAGCGGGGAGCGCAGGGGGAAGGGGAGAGGGTGTTCCTTGCAGTTATGGTTTGGTACGTGGGTGGTGGGTGGTTTGAGGGGAGGAGTGACAGATTGCTTGCGGCAGCAGGGAAGAAAGACGTAGGAGGGTGTTTGCCCAGGGTCCTGTCTAACCCAGAGGGGCCTGGTGGGTGGATGCAGCGAGCGGCGTGTCTGAGCGGGGCGGTGGGAGGGGAGGAACCCACTGGTGGCTGGACCTTGCCGTGGAGCCTCTCTGGGCTGCCAGCCACCCCCGCGCCTCCCCCGGCGCCCTCGGAGGCCAGGGGAGAATGGAAAAAAGCGCTTCACTCACAGTTCCTTTATGGCTTGGCTTTCATCTGCTTCCAGACACTTCCCAACCAGCAAAACGCAGGCTAATTGGTAAAAAGAAATAATAATAATAAAAAAAAGGGCTTCCCCCCCCAACCCTTTTGTTACAGGAGAAATGGAGCAGTGAACGCCACTCGCCGGGCGCTCATCCCAGAGCTCTGAGCCCAGCCGTGATGCGGACACGCTGGCCGACAAGCCTGACTCAACGCCCTGGGGAAGGCAGACTCTTCCCAGGGAATTACTCACTTTACAGACAAAAGTGAAAAAAAAAAAAAGGCTTCTCCATATTACAGACATGTTTCCTGTGCTTCAGCCCTTCCCCGGCCTGGCTTATTTTTAGGGAGCGGAGAGACAGATTAGTTTTCCACTTAGTGTAAGTCAACTTCTACTATTGCTGAAGCCAACGGCAGGCTGCCCCTTGCAGACCTGAGCCTTTGGTACTCACTGCCCTCGCTGGGGCAAGCAAATTTAAGCCTTATCATGTGCTTTAGAGTACAATCAATCGGGGTTGTACTGAGGAGAAGAGAAAAAAAATAAATCAATCCGTGGGGCACTTGTCAACACAGTTCTAGCCAGTTAGCTAGGATAAACTGGGGGTTTTCCCCATTGTATTCCTCAAAGCTCCTTTTTCCCGTGAGGATGCACTTGCTACCCACACTATCCACACACAGAAATTAGCTGCTAGCTCTTAGACCAACGAAGGAAAAGATTGTTTACTGCAAGCCAAGATGCAGAAGCGCGGGACATGATGAAGTACTCAAACCATTTATTATCTGTTCTTGGTGAAATGCAGTCAGAGCTCTCACAGGCAAGTAACTGAGAGGTACAAATTAATCATTAATTAGCAGTATAGAGGTAACGTACAGAAAGCAGCTGAGCTGCTCTTGAAATCCTTCTGGGGAGCAACAGCACCCACATCCTGATGCTGAAGTTGTATGTTTTTCTGGAAAAGAAACCAAAAAAAAAAAAACCTACCAAAAACAAAACCCCCAAACATCTGCTCAACTCTGAAGTCCTCCTACAGTCTGCAATTTGTTTTCTCTTTCCAAACCTGCTGAACTCACTGCCAGGAAATTTCTCCACAGGGAGGAATTACAACCTGCCTATCCTTCTGGCTACTGCACTTGCACTCCCTGAATTCCTGGCTCGGTTACTAGGGGTGCTGCTCACCCCTAAAATATCCACTCTGCCACAGCCCTCTTTGCTGATAGCAATATCAAAATAATCCCTAGTTAAATGTTATCTCATTCAACTTATTCTCATATAAAATTCCATTATTTTCAATGTTTTCACTACTTTTATGGATAGCAATCTTTTATTTTCTTTTTAGAAAGCGTTTTCCCTTTGGCATTCCACTCTGCAGAAAATAGGGTGTGAAGTACTACTAAAATCCCTGGTATCTGAGTTACTTTTTGAACCCAACTTTGGACTGGCTTGCACGCACCAAATGGTTATCAGTGAGAAAACTGCAGTACTCTTCAGAGCTCCATACAAACAAACAAAAACACACAGGTAAATTTAAGCCATCAGTGGCATGTTTTAAAATAAAGTAGAACACAAGGCTCAAGAAATATGGCTCCAAAGCTCCTTCTCGAAACCAACAGGAAAAAAAAAAAAGAAAAAAAAAAACATTAAGCATAAATTCAGTGTCATCACCCTGGAAAGAAATTGGTAGCTGTTGCAAGACAATGCTTGTATTACTTCATTATCTACAAATGAGCAGGCCCCGCTCTTGTTCCAAATCAGACATACAGCTGGGAGAGAACAAAGAAAGGCTCTACACCATTATTTACACTGAAGCCAGGAGAGGATGAAATAGATTAAAATCTGGATAAGTAAAAGGTGAATCAGACCACTGACTTCTATTCTGGACTCCTAGACACTGCCATCCTGTGTAATCATGTCCTGATCACAGCCTTCCCCTTCGTGTGCAGGTGGAATTTATTAAGACATTTCCAGGAGTTTCACAGACTCCTCTCGCTCTTACCTGCGATTAGCTTCCATGCACTGATTTCTTCATTTCCACAACGATACTAACAAAAGGATTCCCCTATAGAAAGGCGCTGTTCATATTTGCTAGTGAAATATATAGACTTTCAGGCATCAGATACTAAGTACAAAAACATTACCTGCTTATCAAACTCCCCATAACCTGGTTAGGCCTAGATAAGAGATGCAGTTATCCCACTCTTAACAAGTATAAATATAAATAAAAAATATAAATATGGGTTCAGATTTGGCCACCATGGTAATTTGGTGTTGCTTCGGTTGGTTTAGATTTGATTGTATGCAACTTGCTGTAAGACAGTATATAAGGTTTTATATAGTCAAGATAACGTTAACAGGCCACATCTTTCACAACCATATGATCTATGAGTAAAGGTCTATATAGTCTGGATGGCCTAATGAATCCTGCAGTTAATTAGCTCGCAGTAGGCACGCTCCCAAAGCCTGCAAAAGCACCTTCTGTCCTGTTCTCTCAGTCATTTTTTCCCCACAATGTACGAGACTGAAAACTGAGGCTACATAATACTGAAACGTTTCGTGTATTGCCTTGTGTCTATTTAGCCTGATGAAGATTTTTACAACTAAATTTAATATGCCCCGAGTTACTACAACGGAAATGCCAATACTGATGACGCTGCTGCAAGCAGGGGCTGAATCATTTCTAGAAATAAAGAGCAAGGCTGCCCTCTGGGGACTTCTCCAGAAGTGCTACAGAAGGCGTGGATTTTTTGTTCCAGCAAAATAAACTTGCTGCAAAGTTTGCTTGTTTGCTTCTGTTTGTTGTCAATACAGATATAAATCAAGTGCTGAACTTGCTACACTGAGATAGTGAAGCTACATTTCTACTAATGTACCTAATGCACCGCAGTGCCATTTACTCCATGGGTCATCATACTTTTCCATGTCTCACGATGGTATGTGTCAGCTTAAAAAAAATAAAAATCTATGGAGCAGTGTAACAGTTACTGAATAAAAAGGTAATTTAGTATTATGGGCTACTAGTATGATGCCTGTAAATCCTCAATTGTCTTAATGAACTTATATTGAGAACATATTGAATTGTTTTAATGAACAATATATTGTCTTAATGCATTTATATTTGAAAAAAGGCAGTTTCCCTGAGTGCGATTTGAGTGTATTTGCTCTGAGTGCAGGCTGTGTTTGAGCTCAGGGCTGTGTCTGGCTGCCACTGGTGCAGCAGCCACACCACCTCCTCAGTCCCTGCCTTTACCTTCCTTGAGGTCCTCCTCCCTTTACAGCAGCCCTGCCTGGCGGTGTGGCGGCACATGGGCTCAGCTCCTCAGTCACCCAGCGGCACGTCGATGGCCGAGCAGGCAGCACAGAGCCTGTGAGGCACAGAGGGGGGGGGGGGGGGGGGTAGAACATGGAGGTCACAAACACCAGACCAAGCCTTGCTGCTGCCAGCACCACACCGCCACACGCAGCCTGGCGGACACCCTGAGCATCTAACAGGGTGCGGGACCCAGCGGGGCTCCAGCCCCAGCCCCACACGAGTTACAACACCCCTGTGCCGGGGCTGAGGCGCCGCGCATGCTCCCGCCCCGCCCAGCCCCGCCGTACCGGGGCCCATGACGGAGAGCGACGGCGCCGGCAGCCGCCATGGCGGCCCGCCTGCTGCGGCCGCTGCCCAGGTAACGGCCGCTGCCCAGGTAACGGCCGCGCGGCCGCTTCCCCCCCCCCCCACGAAATGGCGTCGCCTCAGGGCTCGGTGCCTGCCCCGCGCCCTGCCCTCAGCCCCGGCGGCTTCCCCCCCGCCGTGGTATAACGTGATGATGGTGGCTGTGGCGTGAAGTCCTGAGAATGCCGCTTTGCATAAAATCACACAATTACTGGGATCATGAAGGGAGCTTAAAAATCACCTCATCCCAGCGCGCTTGCTGTGTGTGGGGATGCTGGTTTTATTGTTCTCCTCAGTAGAATACGATGACAATAAACGTCTGTTACTTAAATTAAGTAACAGGTTCAAAACCTGCTTTTATAAACAGTTTGGTATGGCCAGATATCTCCTTTTGGCAGCACAAGCATTAACTTTGCTCGAGTTGTTTCGTAAACCCTACTTAAATGTGCGTACATGCAACACAGTGAGAGCAGGCTTTGTGTAATGGAAGCCTCAGGACTGTGGTGGTTTTTTTGTTTGTTTGTTTTTTCCAAAATACAAGTATTAAAAGTTCCAGACAAGCATCCCCCAAACTCCTACTTTGTCGTATTAGCGCCCAGACAACTTGCAATTGCTTAAATGCAATGAAAACATTAGCAGTTGACGTTGGTATCTATATATAACAACATGCAACGATACTTCCAACCGCTTTGATATCAAAATATTACTTGATTAAGACAAAGTAGAATGTAGAGCAATCAAGTCTAGAAATTTTCTGACAAAGCTTTGCTCAGCTGTGCATTTGGGGGTTGTATAGCTGTTTTAGAATTTTAGTTTTTAACATTTCTTTTTCAGACTGAAGCCATTTAACAGACTGCAAGTAATATTACAGCATTTGGTAAGAACTACATCGTGTTTGACTGAGGTGGAAGCCCTTGGGACGTTTAACTCCATACCTGAGACAGACACACATGCAACTTCTAATGTGTGTGTGTGGTGCTTCTGAATGCCATTCAGGCAGAACATTGTCTATGTATGTGAGCACTTTGTTGTGTGTCTACTAAACCATAAACTAAAGCCCAATTATTTGGCTTTCCCTAATTTTATAGTTAATTTCTGTGTTAGTTTCGTTATATTCCTTAAATGTCATTCAACTTTGAGTTTGAATGTGAAATTCAATTGTGAAAATAGGTTAGCAACCAACTCAACTGTTAGAAATTACATAAGAAGTTGTATGTACATTTGTGGTTGCAGTATCAAACTAGCACTAGGGACATACAAAACTCTTACTGCAATTGTTGTAGGTATTTTCTGAATGTCAGTTTTAAACACCACAGTTCATCGTTTAGTATCTCAAGTGTCATTGCCAAAGAGCATATAGCTCAAAAGCTTGTCTGAGGTTTGTCAGAGTCCTTCAGAATAATAAAGCAGCTCCAAGAGAACCATGTAAGAAATACAAATATGACTTGAATTACAGTGGGAAAGCCTTAATGTGAAATTCAAAACACATATTTTTATAATCTTAAATAGTGTGCTTTGAGAGTGTATTTCCGTAAATGCTCTCGTATGTTACTTAAGACATCAAAGACATTAACATATTTATTTTATTTGTTTTTGCACTTACAGAAAATGTATAAGCATACTGGTTCTTCAGATGAAGTGTTGTTGGAAAAGAAAGGAGGTGCAGGAATAATAACTTTGAATAGACCCAAGGCTCTCAATGCACTAAATCTTTCTATGATCCAACAAATTTATCCACAAATAAAGGTTAGTAGCTGTTACGTTACCTGATACTGCTTTTAAAATTCATTCTGACACTTCATAGCATACCAATTTAAATAATTAAATTGTGAGAACACTTGCTAATGAGCTCAGATGTGTAGGATGGAAAAGAACAGACAATTTCAAGCAGGTTAGAAAGAAGAGACACCAAAGAAAAAAGCTGTCAGACAAAAAGTGAAGTTTTAGCATCTGCATAGATAAGACCCCTGTATTAACACCAGGACTGAATTAAAGGCAAGCAGTAGTTAGTGTTTATATGTTTCTGTTCACAACACCCAGTTGGTCAGTCAGCACATATTCTAAGCTGTACAGAGGTGTTGCCTCTGAGCTGAGTGCATGTTTTGCTGGGAAGTTGCATAGCTGAAAAAGATCAAATTATCATGAAGCAAGTTGCATTAGTTTCATTCCCTAAAAAAGAGCCTTGTGGAGTTATGGACAATGCTTCTCAGTAAAGTAACGTGAAATTTTAAGCATGCAAATAGTCTTTTTTAATTTAACGATGTTGTTCATCATATGCAGAAAGTCAAATATTAAATACCAGTATTTGTTAGACAGTTACCTGCCTCTTGATATTTTGACAGATGGTTATGTTGCAAACTTACGCATTCTTTGAAGAACATTTAAAGCAGTACTGAGAACTGGATTTGTTTTATGCACAACCTTAAAAGGTGGAGTAATCTTAAGTATAGCTGCTGGTAGCCAGAAATACCTTGTCACAGATGCATCTGTGCACAAATTGGCTTAATCCAGTCCTTGACAGGTATTGATTGCAATCATTTTGAAAATATCCATCAACAATTTAAATGCTCTTTTCCTTGCTGCATATCTTAGATACACAAAACTTCCATGAATTGTCTTGAAACAGTTACTATATCTTCTCTATTCCCACCTTTCTCCCCCAGCATTGTGTTCCCATCCAGGTTTATATAGGGCCCTGCTTTAGGGAGTGCTGCTTTTCGTCAGAGAATGGGAGCTGTCTTTGAGCATTCTGAAATACACAAAGTGGCTGTGCAAATCTCTACCACCAGGGTTGAATATGACAATGGAGTGGCAGTTAGAAACTCCTAAGCAAATGTGTGAAGCTCTCAGACTTCATTTTAAAAACAATCTTTCTGGAAAAAAAAAATAAGAATCATACTATACAGAAAAAGAATATTGAATTAGAATGTTAATCTTATGTGGAAACATTTGCCTCACTTTAGGCTTGGGAGCAAGATCCTGAAACTTTTCTAATAATCATAAAGGGAACTGGAGGAAAAGCTTTTTGTGCTGGTGGTGATATCAGAGGTAAGGGCTATAGTCACTTTAAATAGTTTTTACTGTTTTATACGCAATGTTCCAACAGCTGTCTCATGACAACAGCATCATACAGCATCTGTGCGTCAAGGTGTTAGAAGAAGTTGGCACAACTAAACTCACTGTTTTGTGGCAAGCCTCTGTTTACCTGAGTCACGGTAAATAAATTAAACCAATTAACACAAAACAGTAACTGGGAAAGATACGTCAAATTCTTGCTTATGAATAACTGGTGATAGCAGCCAGTCACTGAGAGGTTTCTTGTCTCTTCCTTCTTCTTCCCAGCATTTCATTAAAGACAGCTTATTTACAAGAAATTTGAAGGGTTCTAACAGATAGCTTTGTTGGATAATTTCTCTGATGTTTGACTCAGAGGTGGCTAGATAAGTAGCTGGCTACAGCGATCAATGTATTTGTGATTATTCTTTAACTATGAATGGTAGAAAGTTTCCAAACTCTTTGAGTTGGCGGTTGTTTTAAATCCTAGGTAATCAAGCAGTACAGGTTACTGTTAAATTATGCCCTACTCTTACTGGCTTCTCATTTTTAGTATTCAGTCTTCAGTGTAATCAGTTTTAAGTGACTGTTCCATATATTGATATGAAATACTACAGACAAGACTGACAACCGCTAGGAGGGGTTCCATAGTGTAGAAAATAGACTGTGGTCTCTCAACTCTCCAGCATAATGGAAGGGACTCAAAATGGATAGCTGTTCATATTTAAATTTGATAAATTTGTTTGCTCAAGTAAAATAAAGCAGGATTAAGTTGCTGTTGACTGCTGTAGGACAAGTTTTTTTTTTTTTTTTTTTTTTTCATGCAATACTGATTTTTATACTTGTATTTGTGTGTTCTATTAACCTTAGTTACCTTTAGAATTTTTGTTTCTCTTAAGCCATCACAGATGCAGGAAAAGTTGGAGATAAACTGGCACAAGATTTCTTCAGAGAAGAATATACCCTGAACAATGCCATTGGTATGTTCAACAGCAAGTTTTAGAACTGTATCGTTTTCATAACAATGACTTTGAATATAAATTTACTTTCTCTCTTTGCTTGTCTATAAAATATAGATAATAGAATATTAGAGTAAGTGATATTCTTTTGGATGAAAATCAAGGGTTGAGTGTTACGATCAGAAGAAACTTCTTCGAACATATTTCAGTTGAATAAAGTTTGGATTTTTAAACATTGATCAGAAGTATCCAGTATTAGTCACTGCAGGAAAAGAGGTGAAAATGTTGCATAATAACTGAAGTTATCAAAAGAGTATAAAGTAATACTTATTAGAATTAGCATTTTTACGTACCTTCCTGTCTCCAGCAAAGAAAATATTTAAGGTGTCATGGAAAAATCTAAATATTGCTATGGCAAACAGTTAAAGACTACATACCTCAGGATTTTATTTTTTTTTTTTGTAATTGATTAGTGTATATTATTCCTATAATGCAATATAATTACAAAACCTAGATTTTGGGTAAATCTGGTATAATCGTATTCCTTTAAGATTGAGACTTCTACTAAAAATAAATATTTTTATATTGTATTTTAGAACTTCAAGTACACAGAGGAGCTGTTTTCACTGCATTTGCAGACATACTTCTGTAGAAACTTTAGTTCAAAGTCTAACATCGAGAGTCCATGTTCTAGCTTATAAGTTGATGCAAGAACAGAGTTAAAAATTCAGTTCTCGCAGTTTCTATCGACTTGGAGGATTGAAGTGCCTTGTAAAATAGTTGTTTTTTTTTTAAACAATAATCTATAGTTGCTACAGAAAACAGCTATTGTAGCAGATACCTCTATCAGCAATCTAATTCAACTTTGTCTGACCTGAAAATGACAAATATGAAGCAGCAATTTCATTCTCGGAAGGCTTCTGAATCTTTCTGTAAACAGTAATTGACAGCATCAGATCTTTAGTTTCATAATTTCTATGAGCTCCAACAGATAAAGCTGACAAATAAAACTGTAGTGCTTTAGGGCAACATCTTGACGTGTGCCACACATGGGTAACATGCAGCAGACTTGGCAAGACAGAACACGTTCATATTGTAGTAGTTCAGTCACATTTTGGCTTAAATCTACCAATGAATCTGACTTTGTACTGATGTACTGGTACATGCTCTATGCTCTTACTCCAAGCTGTCAGATAGACACAACAGTTCCCCTTTCACCCTAACTTGTTACAAAATTATTTGTAATAGCCAGATATGGCTGGATTATCAGATGCTCACATAGCAAGCCATCTGATGTTTCATGTTCTCTTACAACACTAGGAATGTAGTAAGCCACTCACTGGTATGTCTTTCCCCTGCTTAATAATTATGTGAAGAAGCTTCATTGTAAGTTGATATTTTGTTTAAATTTGCTATTTATTTATTTATTTATTTGCTCTTGCTGAAATAAGACATGAGGAAGTTGTCATGCATATGGTTAGTCATTCTTTTGAAGAAATTACATTTTTTTTTTTTTTTACATTTCTTGTAGGCACTTGCAAGAAACCTTATGTGGCACTTATTGATGGCATTACAATGGGAGGGGTAAGTACCTTGGTGTTATATCTAATAGAATTTGTTTTGAAGTAATGTAACGTGGTGTACTTGAGTTGCATGAAGTGTGTCAAACATTTCAATTTAAGAACAAACATTTAAATCCATCCTTTTTGTATCTAGCTTGTCAGACTACCTTGCTGTTCTTCTGCTGTTCTTTGATAGCTACTGCAACTGCTTCCTCTGAGGATCTGCCAGTAGGCTTGAGAAAAGAGCACAATCTTGTCACTGTAGCAAACACCACCCAAAGGTTTTCAGAACACTTCAGTGTGAGTTCGTGGATTATACAAGGGTTGAGAATAATTTTCTACTCAACATTTATTAGAAAATAGAACTATATAAATATACATCTAAAAGGCAAGTCTTTGAAAAAAATGGAAAAAATCTCAAAGCTTGTTATGAGCATCTGTTAAAGAGAGTTCTACATTTTCCCATGAATTGACTGGGAAATGCATCTGCAGACTCACCTCTGCAGTACTCCCAGTTCATAAGCTACAGGATCCTGATATCCTTCTCCAAGGTCACATCTTGTTTCCAAAGCATACGAATGGAGGAGACTCCGTCACATTGCTAGTTATAGTCAGTGCTAATAGTTGTTTTAGCAATTGTTGGCTCTAAATACTGTGAGTAGGTAGTAAATGGCAGTACCATGCTTTTCTACATGCTGAAATGCTGTTCACTTCAGTTTGACATCTGTTGGATATAAGTGCATCATAGTAGGGAACAGAGTACAATAATCTGGAGTTATTTTGAACAATGAGTTTGACAGTGATGTCTGTCTGCCATATTGTCACTTAGATTTATGGGTGATGACAAGTATTCCTGGACTGCTAATTACAACTGCTTCAATACAGTTCTTGACAGATAGTTTTTTCTTGCTGCTGAAAGTGAAGATTTAAAGGATCTCTATTACGCAGTGTCAATAGTTATGCTGGAAAGCTGCTTCAATGCGTATGCTACCAGCTCATTAAGCCAGTGGAGTTTCTGGTTTTGTTTTTAACATCTGCTTGTGATATGAAGTTGATGGTATTTATTGCCCAACTTATGCAGCTGGAATATAAGAGAGTAACTTCCTTCTAGGAAGGAACAGTTTCTTTCATCTGTTCTACAGAGGCCTATATAGTTTTATTTAATAAAGACATTTGAAACATGACGTAGATCTTAAGATGTTATGCAGCTACTCAACAGCTAAGGGGACCTTTCACTGCAGGACCTGATGACTAGAGAGGTATGTTATCTTGCTCGGAAAGAGAAAATAGAAAAAGATAGAAAAGATAGAAAGAGAAGACCTGGCCTACTTGTCCAGGTATGTCACCTCCAGGGTTTCTTCTTTGTTTGTGTTGTTTTTGTTTTTTTTTCTTTTTGAGAGCTACTCTTCAAGCATTTTTGTTCTCCTTCTGACTTTTACACTTTCTTACACTGCAGCTTCTGTTCTACTGCATTCCTTTTCAATGTTTTAAGGAATCTCATCAAGTGTTTGCTGTAGGCAAAGTTTAACACAAGTAGAGGCATGAGCATGGAAGACCTCAACAGCTTTCAATGAAGTACTTTTGTCTTGCAGTTCTCTAAAACATTATTTTGGTATAATAGCCTAAAATACTATTTCACGAGAGGCATTTTGCCTTTTCTTGCAGTGGGCTTTCTGAAATTAAAAAAAAAAATAAAAAGATGGAACAAACATATCATTCCAAAGCCTGAATATACACACTTCATTTCTGTTAAAGCATACAGGGTTCTGTTGCCCACTCTTTGGCTGGGTCTGAGAGCCAGGATTTTAGGCCTTGTGTTAGATTTTAAACTTTGTGGTACCACCTCAAGATTCCACACTGAAGTCATGGTTGTCTTTCACGTCAGTATGATTAAAAAAAAAAATAATACAATTTTGGTTGAAAAAGTATGCAGTCTAAGATAGGGGAAGAAAAAGTTTGGTGTCAGTTTATGGACTGCTTTTAAACTTTCATATAACCTTGAATGCTATTTATTTAGCAGTGTTAGTGGAGCTGCAGTTTACTCTGAGATAATGTCCTTTAATGCCCTTCTTACAGGAATGCATGCTTTTTTTTTTTTTTTAAATCAACACACTTTTTCTCCTCACAGTACATGGAAGTATCTACTGATGGTTTAACACAGGAGGTCGGCAGCAGTATTTCTCAATGCCTATTAATTTTTGTGTATGTGCTCTGTGACGGTTTTGAGCTGTGTTCCTTTTAGCTACCTCTGCAAGATTGGTCCATTTAGACAAATCACTAATGTTCAAGCAGGAAAGGTGTGCTAGCTTCCTTCTTTATCCACCTTCTTCCATCAGTGTTGTCAGCATGGGGAACCCCCATCACTCCTGGCCTTAACCAAACAAAGCTTGCAGCAGCTCTTTTCTATTGTGGTTAAAATAGGTGCACTGCAGTAAGATTTTTAGATTAAAACCACTGGAACAAACCTGGTCACGTTCATCCTCTTACCTTGTTTTGCTTGTTGCATGGAAGTTCTCTATCCTACTCCAATTATTCACTGAAACTGCATTCATACAAAGGAGTTATTCTATTTGTGGTAATTAAATGATTTGTTTTAAATCACTCAAACATTAGGGATCTATGTTTTTGACACAATAAGGTCATATTTAATCTATTTCATATGCTCAAAATCTGTCTTAGTCCCTGCAAGTGAGTGGGAGCTAGAAGTATTTGTCGATTGTGAACCACAGTAACTGTCATTAAAAACAAACAAACACACAACAAACCATGTTCAGGTCTTTAGCTTTAAAAGCAAGTGGTTTAAGCTTGGGCTTAAAAGTCAGGAGACCCTCTTAAACGCTTCAATTTCACTCTACACCATTTATCTGTGAATAAAAATGCAACCACATCAATTTCAGCCATGCTCAGAAATGCAGGTACGCCTTTGTAGCACCATGCATATTAAGTGCAATGTTGTTCTAATTTAAAATTGGTTAAAAAATCCAGCAGCGTATTAGAAACTCAGTTATTACTACTCAGGTAATAAAATTCGCTGTTGATTTGCATGTATCTTAGATTTGTGATAAACTTGGAATTGTATTCCAAAAAATGAACTGGTTCCACATCAACTTTGTTCTTCAGTCTGGTAGGTGACACTCTGGAGAGCTTAATTAGCCAACAGATGGGGCTGTGGAGCTTGTTCTCTGCACCTTTTTGTATGTACTCTATAGTTCATCACGAATTGGAATTCCACATAAGTCTGTCTTTTAATCTTTTCGTACTTATTCTGCTTCAGGGCAGTAGGTTTGAGTGAAAAGAATATCTTACGAAGCAAAAATGATGGCATTTGACTAAAAAAAATGTGAAATAAATTTTAAATTCCACATTTGCTGTTAAAGGGTGTGCCCTTTTGTTTAATAACAAAATGTTAAATACATGTTTAGAGAGAGAAATAGGAAGCTGGAATTTGAATATAGTTTGCAACTTTGAGAGACAGAGGTCACCCAACCTTGTTTCCATGGCCCTGCACCCTCAGCTTTTAGGCCTAGTTGGTGATGGCAGTAGCAGCACAAACTGCTGCCTGCTTTGTTCTCTCCTCAGTAGAAAAAGATCTCAGCTATATTTATTGCAGTTCTGAGAAGACTCATTGTTTGTCTCTCCGGATTCACAAGTGGCTTTCTATTACTTTGTCAACACACACATCAGCACAGTTTTTTTAAGCAAGGGCTTTGAAAGTGAGAGTCTACATCTAAGGCACTTAGGTAAAGCGTCTTCAAGGTGGCTATTAGAGAGTTTAAAATACTGTTTGATCCTGCCTTAGTCACTCGGGTAATAATGACACATACATTGAGATTCAGATTACAGAAGTACAGAGGATCCTTGAGATTATTCTTCTGCACTTTGAAGTAGTGTGAAATATAGAGTGATGAGAGCTTAGGAGATTTCCACCTAATGCGTTCAGAAGTTTCTATCATCAGGAATTCAGTTTTTCTAGACATCCTACCCTACTACTTAATTACTCTTTCGTGATTTCCCTAGTGTCTAATTTAAGCCTTCAGTGTATGTAGTCAATATATTCCTTAATCACAGCTCTCTAAGAGCATTTTGAAATACTTTCCTTTCTCCCAGCCATCTCACTTTAACTGGGAAAAGACTAGTAGTTCTTTAGTCTTTACTATAGATTAATTCCCTTTGTCTTCTTGCAATCCTCTGGAATCTCTCTAATTTGTGTACTTTACAGTTCATTACCAAAAACCAGACTGTGTTTCAGCTGGGGAATTCATTAGCACCAAGTAGAGCAGAATGATTATCCTCTATATACGATAGAAGTATTCTATCACAAGTAACTCACGCAAACCAAAGCCTCCTAAAACATCAGATGCTAGGAAGCCACCACACCTACATACTCTTAAAGCCATTATTCTTACCTCTTTTTGCTTGCAGAATGTAAACTTCTGTCACAGTGTAGTTCCTTGTCACTTACCTTTTACCAGTATTTAGTTCTTCCTTGAACAGAATTTGTGTGTCAGCATCAATCTCAGCAAACTACGCTTGTCCTGAAAGACTATTAAAAAACCAAACAAGCCCTTACTTCCTCCTGAGCATTGTATCACCTGGCATTGCCTTTTGTAGCTCCACCACATCAAGCTGGTTAGGCTTCCCAGCTGTGGTAAATCTAGGCTAAGTGGGTACAGTTCCACCCTTTGGTGCCTGCTGTAGCATAGAGTCTGAAGTAAATTCTTTTTGCAGCAGCATTTTGTTACTGTTTCTATTAAGTTACTAGTTGGTTTCAGGTCTGGAAAGCTTTAAGGCATTTGTTCTATAAAAAGCATGCTTGCAAGGTTGCATTAGATTTTACTTTTGCAGATGTAGTTGATTTCACTTCATTTATATCTGTCTGATCTTGTTCCACCATTTCTCTGAAGTGAGATAGTTTTGAATTCTGATCTCTGCCCTTCAAAGTAATAATACCCTCCCAAAATGTAATTTGGAAATTATATCTATACATATATTAAAAACAAACAAAAAAACAGCAAAAAAACA